TCACCCCGTTTTCCTTCCCAGTGTGCTTGAAAGGCTACCTAGCACCAGGTCCCTCTCCCCACCAAACAGCTCTCCTTCCAATGGGAAAAAGTCCATGCAGGCAGAGCTCCCTGGGCCAGCTGTGGGGACAGGGTACAGAGCCATGCTGCAGCTCCCCCACCCCCTTTCCAAAGGAAAAAAGGTCAAACTTGAACTAGCTGCCCTTTCTGGGCCCTTGCCAGCGGTGAGCAGGCTTCCGATTTATTTCCCTTTCTGAGTTTGCCCACAACATTACAGGCTTTGTGAGTGCAAAGGGGAGGGCAGCGGGTGAACCTCGGGCCACTGACCTCAGTCCCTGGCAAGGCACGGCCTCCGCTTAGTCTTGGGTAAGCGTCCTGACCAGGGCCGAGCCTGCCTGGGACTGCAGCTTTGGTCATTCATGCTGTGGAAAGATGGGTTTGCTGACTGCTGGAGGAGATCAAAGTCCTGTCTGGATTTCTAAAACCCAGATGGGTCAGGTGGCTTACAACAGGTACACGGGGTGGCGACTTGCCTGAGGTCCCAAAACAAGGAGGTGACAAGCTGAGAGAAAACGTCCATCTCCCTTCTGTTATTCTGGCTGTAGACCTCCTGGTCAGCCCACCTAGTTTTCTTTTCAGTGAAGGCAGGGACTGCGGATACAGCACCTTGACATTCAACCGAAGAGGGGCAAGGCAGAGGGAGAGGTGGTCAGCTCAAGCAGCCTGAGCCCTGCCCCAGCGGGTGGAGTGACCTTGAGCCCATTATTTCACAACTCCGAGAGGAGACCTGGTTTCCTCACTCTTACAATTGGAACAATCCTAGCAGCTAGTCAAGCCTTCCTCCTCAAAAGGCTGTCCATTTGCATTTGCAGGAAGCTGTAGAAATGCAGAATCCAGGCTCTCGTGGACCTGCAGGATCAGAATTTTCCCATTTTTTCCCCAAGGTCTCAGGGGATTCTAAATACATTTACATTTGAGAAGCCCGGATATGGGGCGGGGGGGATATGCCCCCTCAGAGGCAGCCCTCAGCCCTCAATGATGTAAGCCCAGTTCACACTTGAAAGGGCCCAAGACACAGCCCCCACCCCTGGCTCTCTAGAGGAATTCAGACCCAAAAAGGCTGATTAATTTGCCCAGGGTCTCACAGTGGCTTCAAAATTTGAACCCAAGACTTGGGAGTTCTTTTGCACCGCGGCTCTCTTTCCATGTACGAATGAACTCTCCACCCACAAAGCACAATGCTAACGCAGGTGCTCTAAGAAGGAAAGCCCTTGTGTATTTTTAAATTAATTCCCTGGTCACCACGCAGGGTCCTCAGGCAGGCCTGATGGCTCACACTGGTTCAGCTGGGCTCGACTCTGTGCTTCTGGGCAGCTGTCTGCCATTCAGAAGCTCGAGGAAGTGGAGCAGCCAGGATTGCTGGCGGCTGCAGCAGGAGATGAGATGTCTAAAGTGAAAGGAAGCCTTAAAACACACCTTATAAATTTACACTCCCTTTCACCTATTAACATCTTCCCCAAGCAGCTGGCACTGCCCAAGCACAGCATACAACAGAGTGTCAAGCTAGAGGGCATCTTTTTGGCTTCCCACCTCTGACAGAGAGCAAACCCCAGCATGCTGGCTTCCCAGGACTGGAGCTCTGTCCATCAGGCTGGGAAGACGCCCAGGCCCACAGGACTGGGTTCCCTAGACGCTCCAAAGGAGACAGTAGCAGACGCAGCAGGGGGCCCAAACAAAGGTTAAATGGGAGAGGGGGTGACTAAAGAGTAGAGAATCACACCAGTAGGACTGGCCTGCTGTATCCCAGACAAACATTTCCAGCCCACAGCTCCAAAATTGTTCTAGGGCCTACCACACGCAAGGCATAACCACACAGCTGAGTGGCAGAGGAAAAGATGGCAGCCTCGGATGTCCCAGGTCCGGGTTCCCATCTTGGCCAGCACTGGCTCTGGGAAACCACCTACACACAGATGTGCCTATGCAGATTCAGAGATGTAGGTCAAATGTCCAGCCCAGGGCGCAGAAATGGTGCCTGGGCCCAGAAACTTTCCTCTGACATATTTCAAGGTCTAGAAGTCTGAGCAGTGACTGCGATTTTTACCAGTGGGCAGACGGAAATAACACAGGACATTTCACGGTTTCAGATTGTGAAATTCTGATTTTATGTATTCATAACAAACCCAATCTAGGATATCTCAAGTTCATCATAAAAGGCAGATTTCAGATTAACTATGGCAATGCCTTCCAAGCTTTCATTTGTGTATGAATCATCTGGGGTTCTTGTTAAAAATGCCGATTTGCAGGGTGCCCGGGTGGCTCAGTGGGTTAAAGCCTCTGCCTTTCAGCTCGGGTCCTGATCCCAGGGTTCTGGGATTGAGCCCCGCATCGGGCTCTCTGCTCAGCAGGGAGCCTGCTTCCCTCTCTCTCTGCCTGCCTCTCTGCCTACTTGTGATCTCTGTCAAATAAATAAAATCTTTAAAAAAAAAAAAAATGCAGATTTGCACTCAAGTAATCTGGAGTAGGACCAGAGAGTGTGTATTTCTAAGAACTCTGGTGAAGCTCGGGTTCCCAGAGCCCACACTTTTGAACAGCAAGGGTCTATGGAATTCCTTAAACAGTAAGAGATACATGCATGGAAGGTATAATTTGATTTAAAAAGGACATCCCAAGAGAACAACCATGAAGTAGTATACAGAACCAAGCTGGCCGGGCGGTTTCTTAAAGGGAGGCACCCCTGAGATTCCTGTAAACTGGCCCTGGGCCCTATTCAGATGAGTCTGTACTCTACCTCACACCGTCTAGGCAGGTGAAAGTACTCGTTAGTGGCCATAAAGGCAGCACGATTCTGACAAAATTCCCAAAAGCAGCATGGTGTCAGAAACAAAGCATCCTAGAATATTTCAAGTTCATGACCACTCCAACAGCTGTGGCCAAGCTAGGCTCTTCAAGGCCTTTCTTAAATCCTTCTTTTACCCATTCACCTCTTCTCTGTAAGCTAAATCTCATGCGGTTTCTGTTGACAGCTGTAATTAAAAAAAAAAAAAAAAATGCCTCTATCAAGTTACCAGATAGGGATAATTCCTAAGTAGTAAGACGAATGTGACTGTCAGGAAGTATCTTCAATTGACTGACTCATCCTAATGTGTGTGCTGGGGTTGGGGGGGGGGTACTCCATAAAACATCCAAGGGGGTTCATATTTACAGGACTGGAGATCCAATTCTGGCTACTCTTTGGATCAGAAATAACACAGGGGCGCCTGGCTGGCTCAGTCGGTGGACCATGTAACTCCTGATCTCAGGGTTCTAAGTTCCAGCCCCATGCTGGGTGTAGAGATAACTTAAAAATAAAATCTGAAAAGAAAAGAAACAGTAACACCGAAGATCCTCCATATCTCCTGCAATGAGATTCTTGGAGACTAAGTGTGAGGTAATCTGATCTCCAGCTGCTTTTAGCACAGAAACTCATCTGTCCACCATGAGACACAGGCCAGCCCAGCACACTAGCTTAGAATAACATGTATGTTTATTACAATTCCTGTCATGATCCTCTGGCCTGGCTGGGCTAACACTCAAACTATAGAGTCATTATGAGCCAGTGGTAACAGCGAGCTGCCCAGAAACTGCTGAGCCCGCAACAGTCGCCCAGAAAGGAAGGGATTCCCCTCCTGTGCACTTGCCCGCTAACGGATAAATGCTTGCTCGGACCAGAAATGCCAGAGCCAGTCACCTGTGCTCAGCGTCTCTCATTCATCCGTGCAATCACGAGGCTGCCTCCCTGTTCCACACCCCTCCCCGCAGCCCATGTGCAATCACACCGTGAGGCTACACACCAGGCAGGCTCACGAACCTTTGGGGAAGAAGGAGACTCAGAGCAAATTTCTGGAGGAGACTGGCTTGTTTTTCCCCATCTGCCCGTTGGGGGAGGAAGTGAAGTTTTCCAACAGAGCCACCTTCTTACTTGGGGCAGAAAAAATGTCTGAGGTTTCAGAAGAGCAGTACAGAAGAGCAGTACAGTACAGTATATAACAGAAAATATTCTCCTTTCTCATCTTGAGGTCTGCGAAATGTTTTCATTTCAGAAGGGGAAATGGAGACCCCAGAGGCTACCAGGCCTTATTAGTGAACAAGGGAGGATACTCCCTCCCAGGAAACAGGCCTGTATTTCTCCACTGCTCCCCACGCAGGTTCTTTTCCAAACTCTGGTCCCGCTTCTGACACAGACCTAATTCCCAACTGTCCTCTGAACATATGTTGACAAACTCCAGCTATGTCTGCCACAATAAGCAAATGTCCAACATTTCAGATTTTTGCTAAGATGCATAAAACCTGCAGAGGACTGAAGCTGGCAAATACAAGCTTGTAACTAATTCTAACAAATTCATCTTGGAATGGAGGAAAAAAAAAAAAAATCCTCAAGCCCTATTTCCTCCCTCTCCCCAAACTCCAAAACCCGGTGCAAGGAAATGTAAGGATTTTCCATTTCTTAGGAAAGCAAAAGGAAAACGCCAAGTTTTCCTGGGACGGTGGACCACTCTGAGGGTAGGCAGTAACTCCCCTCAGGAGGGATTCACCGCGCGTCTTCGAGAAGCTCAGGCTCACACGCGCCACTCGGCGGGCCGGACAGACCCACCGCTGGACTTTGCGCCCCGCCAGGTCTTGCCTGGCGTGGGGAGAGCGCGCCTCTGGGTCTGGACAGGATTTCTAGAAGTTCATGATCTCCTCCTTGCAATGGGAGGTTTGGGCGCGGTTTAATGGGCTCCTGCAACTCCCAAGTCCGGACTCCCAGCGTGAAGCGTGATGCTTCTGCTCTGCGAAAGGCGGGCTCACGCACACACCTGTGAACACAGTCCCTCTTTCGCGTGCCCTCGTGGTTTGGAATTTGGGCCAGAAGCCCGGGGATCCGCCAGGGCGCGGGAAGGTGGGCGCGACCCGTGTCCCGCGGCCAGGCGCCTGCCGGGAGGAACCTAGGGGTTAGGCGCGCGTCGCGTCCTGCCTACTCACCGGGACCTCTGCAACTGTTCCAAGGCGCTGGTGCTGGCCCCCTGGCCCGGCTGTTCCAGGGAGCAGTAGTTCTGCGAAGTCTGCCTGGAGAAGGCGATGGGCAGGATTCCCTGAGTGAACGAGTTGAGGCGACCCCGACTGCCGCTCCCACTCCCGGGGGTCCCGGAGCCTAAAAAGGCGGCCGCCGGCACCTGCACGCTGAAAAAGGCATCGTCCTCCTCCAACTCCTCCTGCCCGGCGTCCCGGGGCCCGTCGGGCGGCTGCGGCGGAGCGCAGTAGGCGAGAGGGGCCGGCCGGGGCGGCTGTAACTGCTCCCCCGACGCCCGGCCCGCGCCCAAGGGGCTCACGAAGCCCCGGGTCGCCCCGGGGCCGGGCCCCGCAGCGTGGCCGCCGGGGACCAGGGGTGGCAGCGGCGAGGGCTGCGGGAGGCAGGGGCCCCATCCGGCTGCCACCGCCGCCGCCGTGCCCGCCGCGGCGAGCGCGTTACAGCCGCCCCGCTCGGCGGCGGCGATCAGGCAGAGCCGAGTCCTCGCGCCGCAGGCGCTGCCGGCGCCCGGCTTGGCCGCGCCGCTCTCCTCGCCGCCGCCCCACCCCTCGTCCTGCAACGGCGGCCGGCCGTCCAGCGAGATGTTGGTGAGGAAGGAGAGGGCAGCCTGGCGGCGCCGCGGGTCCATACGCGGCTTCCTGGGGGGCTCGGGCGGCCGCGGCTGGGCCGGCGCGGCGGCCGCGGGCTGGGGCTGCGGCGGCGGCGGCTGCTGCAATCCGCTGGTGCCCGCGGCGTCGGTGCCGGCGCTGCTGCTGCTGCTGCTGTTGCTGCTCCTGCTGCTGCAGGCGGCCGTGCCGGCGGTGGCGGCAGTCGCCGCCATTGTGTCCGTCTGCGGCGATATTTCCGCGCTGCCCGGAAAAGCGAGAGGCGCCGGAGTGCTAAGCGGCGAGCGCGAGCGCGGGTGACCCGGGCTGGGCAGGGCGCGGGGCGCGGGCGGCGTGCACGGCGGCCCGGCCCCCCCGCGGGCGGGCCATGCTCGCCCCTCGGTGCTGCGGCCGGGGACGCCGCTGCCCCGGCCCACGCGCGCGGCTTCCTCGCTGGCTGGCTGGCCGACCGGCCGCGGATCGCCGGGTCCCGGGCCCTGCCCGCCCCTGCGGTCTCCGGCCGTCCGGCCCGGCAGCCCGTATTTATAGGTGCGCGCGCCCTGCGCTCGCGCTCCGAAGAGCTCTTTGCAATAACACAGTATCACGTGTGGGGAATGAAACCTGGGAGGAAAACAAAGCCGCAGGCGGCGGCCGCGGAGGCAGGCGGCGGGAGGCGAGGGGCCGGAGGAGGAGGAAGGGAAAGCCGAGCGAGTGGCGGGGCGGGGGAATCTTGCTGGCGGTCCAGGTAGCCCGAGCTTCCTGCGGGGAGCTGGTGGCTCCCAGGGCGCGCGGGACCCAGCTAAGGGAGGCGAGCACGTTTCGCCGCCTTGCCCGCACTGGGAATTGGGGGTGCCAGCAGGACCCCGGAGTCGCGCGGCTTGAGGATGTGGCCCCGGGAGAGTTGTGTGGGTCTGCAGGATAGTTACTTGGAGGGACGCTGAGATCTGGCCCACGAGCTCCTTAACTGGACCCCGCGCCGCCGTTGGGCCCTGAGAAATAGATCCTTGTTAATAGTTAGCACGGGCAGGTCCGCAACCCCGTCTGTGGATAGTCCCACCTCAAAGCTGCCGCTTAAGCCTTAACGGTTGTGTCTCATTCATTCGCAGGCGGAGGGTGCAGCCCCTTGAGGTAAATGCACGCCCCTCCGTGCTTAAGAGCCCAGGCGTATTTGAACGTCCTCTGTGTGGGCAGACTGATTTACACATCCCTATGTGATGGTGCCGTCACTTTTCATCTCTCTATTAGCAAAGGCCAACGTCAATTTTCACTCTATGAAGACCGAGAAAAGCCATGATGGCCTCATACCCTTTTCCCCCTTGTCACCCTGCACAATTTGCGGCTTATGATCTCGTTTTATCCCATATAAACTGGGAACAGTATGGTTACTTTCTGTCATTTATTTCATAAACATCCGTTTGGCACCTACCCTATCTTCTCTTAAGACGGGTCCCTGCCCAAGGATTGGAAGATCGTTCAGGAGCAGTTGGCATGCTGTACCTCGGAGCTCCAGCCCCACCAAATGCCTGTGTTGGCTGAGGAGGGTGGTGGGCTAGGGGGCACCAGGACCGACCTGAGAAACGTGTACCGGTTTCCCTGTGCGGTTTGGGTGACATACCAAATGTAGTAAGGAACAATTGTCACACTTGATTAAGCTTAGCGCCATCTAAGACACCTCTCTACACTTTTCTGAGGGAGAAGCAATGTGTTTACCATCGGGGATTAATTTAATTAAAGGTTTAAATTTAGCTCTGGAACTAATGGGTAACTCTACATTGAAATTCCACTCCACTTCAAGTTTAGGAAAGTAAATTGAGTAATGTGGAGCAAATACACCAGAGATGTGCACTGAGCCTGGAGTGTACAAGATATGGGTGAGTTTCAGGTTACATTTGCTTAGGACAAACATGGCACATGGCCCTTTGCATGAACAATTGTTCATATTTTATGCCGTTTTTAGGCCTTTTGAAAAAGTAGAGAATGGGATCTATTTATAGCAGCCTTACAGAAGCTAAGTCAAAGCTTGGTGACCAGCTCTGTGAAATTTCATTAGGAGTTTAATGATTTTGTTTAACCAACTACCTCAAAACTTCCAAGTGGCTTTATTACAATTAACTTAATTTGCATGACCACTGGCCTGGTTGTGCCCGAAGGCCTTGTTAAATGAAAGACACCAGCTCTTTGTTCATATTAAGTAACTCTTTTTTTCTTACAAAAATGATAAATGTTAATTGCACAACATTTAGAGAATAAGATAAAGAGAAATTTTAGTAAGAAAGCATCACTAACAATCTCATCTGCTGTGCAGATAACTTTTGAACTTTTTATGTCTGTCCCGTACTTTTAAACAGGCTAAAGCACGCTGTTCCTGTGTTGTGATTTTTGCTTGCTGTGTTGCGATCATCTTTTCATTTAGAATATTCTTTTATGGAATCATTTTAATGGCTGCATAGTGTTCAGTTTGATGGAGATCTTATAATTATTAAACCTGTACCCTTTATTGAACATTTAGGTTGTTTCCAGTTTTGCTGTTATAAAGAGAGTGGTGATGACTTCCTTGGTTTTTCTAAATCTTGTTACCATCCGGTATTTTCTTAGTTAAACAGATACTAGGGCAAATTCAGTGTCATGTTTTTAAGGCTTCCCATCCAGAAAGGTTGTTGCAGTTTGCTGCAACACTTTTGCCCACATGTCAGTTTTTTCATCAATCTTCATTTTTTTGTCCATCTGATATAACTCTTTGTCTATTTTAAGTGGCAAACATGCGGACTAATTTCAAATATTTATTAAAGCATCAAACAAGAATCAATATCTTATTTAACCTCTGCACAGTTCCCGTGATAGATTTTCTTATAGGGACCATGAGAGATATGGTTTATTGTTCACCTACTGTGTGCAGCCACAGAATATTTCTATTTCCAATCCTTTGTACTCTGCAAGGAGGGGTGGTGGTGTGTTATGATCAATATTTTACAGAGGAGGCTTAGAAAAATGTAATAATTTCCCCAAGGACATCTAGCTCTTAACTGGGCCAGTACACAAACCTGTTATATTCTAAGACCCATGTGTGGTCCTGCGCCCTCTGCTGGTGAGGACATTTTACCGGGCGGTCCATCCCCAGATTTAATCTCATATTTGTACTTAAGAGTCAACTCATCTGGGAAATAGTACAAACTTAGAAGGAAAGGGATCTGAGTTTCAGGAGCAAGTCTCTTAGCCTCTCCAAGCCAATTTCCTCTACAGGTTATTCTGAGGTACAAATAAGACTGCTTGAGAAGCATTTTAGAAAACCTTAAAGTGCCTTTAAAAATATCAGTTGTTATTTATATCAGCTCAATCTACCTACTCCCTGAATTATTCCAAATTCACTTATTTTTCACCTATGGAATCACTAATTAAATATTACTGAGGAATTTCTATGTACATAGCACGATGTTGGTACAAAAGGAAAAAAAAAAAAAAGTGTGGCTCTTTGCCCCTGTGCCCTCTATAGTGAAAATAGTGAAAAGCCAAAGCCCAGGACATATTTCAATAAAAATGCGAGGCAGAGCCTGATTAAGTGATCAAATGAGCAATCAGACCGGAACTGTGAATGTTATCAAAATCTGAAAAAGGACTTTTATTTGAGGTGAGGTTTGTCAGGGAGGCCTCAGCCAGGAGCCAGAATTTCTACTGACCTGGGTGCTAAGGAAGGAAGAGGGAGGACACCTCAGGAAGAGGATGTTCTCCATGCAAATTCCTCGTGGATTTCAGGCCTAGAAAGAATTTGAAATGTAATTCTTGGCCTTGCAGAGGTTTTTGTGTTTTGGGGGAGTCTCCCCCCCCAATTTACTTTAATATTGCCCCTTTTCAGTACCCATAAAAATTTTTTTGCATGCATCAACTGTTTTGATTGACACATATGGGAGCCAGTTTAAAAAAAAGAAAAAGAAAAAGAACCTACAGGTAATCACTGACCCTTTAAAAAAAGTAATTCTGCAGAACATTTTGTCTGAAAATGAGCGTAGAGACGACAGTGGATGTCAATCCTAACAAAAGCCATCTGACACTGTGGTTCTGCGGCCCACTTAGGTGCTTACAGATCGTGATCTTTGGGGGCTTGAGCTGGGGAAAATGACAAACTTTTTGCCTTGGTTGCTTCACCTGTAAATATCAGTTTTGTGATATTTTCCCTTGCAGCATTGTGAGGATCAGTGATAATATAATTTATGTAACTAGCAGAGGGTCTCAAGCAGGTAGCTATTATTAGAAAAATGCAAAATGTAGAAGGTGCACACAACAAAGGCTGGGATATTTTAGGCTCCGGGGTTTTATAGTTTGCACCAGTCCTGCCAGGAAGGGAGATGAGAAACTTCAGATGCCGGCTTCAGTTCAGATCAGATTATTTTACTGCACGTTCCATAAAAGCACAGCCAGAACTCACACCAGGCCAGTAGGTCTAAAGCACAGGCAGAGTGCCTGGGAGAGACCTGCTGCTTGCCTTCATCAGATGAAAGTTAGATCGCCAAGACCTGAAATAGAGAATGCCCAAGAGGTGGGCCTCAACACCCCAGCTCTTCCCCCCTGAAATTCACCTTCCCTGTGGGGACTTCTGATCATTTCTCTCGGCCAGGGAGATGGGCAGCGAGAGGAGGGGTGTCATTGTTTTCCCTTTACAATTTGGCGCAGATACTTTAATTTCCTTCTTTAGTTTCTCCAGACCATTGGAGACCAGATGCAAGACCTAAGTGAGACTTACTGGGAAGCTCCAGGATATTGAATGCAGAACCGAAGTCAGTGAGGACCACAGAGCCACACTGAGCAGCTCACAAAGTGGGACTTCCTCATAGTCCTCATCCCAGTATTTCCTAAAAGCCAATCCCGTGCTCTGTTCTGGGCTAGGTTCTGTGAGTACCAAAGAGAACAGGATGTGACCTTTTCCTGGAGACCGAAAGTGAATGGCAGAGAAAGCTACATCCATATTGTCACCAAAAATACACCAAGTATTTAAAAGAAAGAGCTGTATGCACAGGGTTCAGCTAAACTCCAGCAGACCTCCTAGACCAGAGGCTATCTCTGCACCACCCACCTAAGACACCCTCCTCTTCCTGCACGGGAGACACCCTGGGGAGGTACATTCCTGCCACTTGGCTGCCATAGTGCGATTGCCTCAGATTGTCTCCAAGTCTCCTCATCCTGTCTGAGGTCCTGCCCTTCCCTCCATGGTTGGTACCTGCAGCCCCACACGTAGGTCCACACAAGGAACATTTTGCCTCCAGACCCCTCACATTCTGTGGAGGAAAGAGAATTTTATGACAGTCCCTGCCTAGGATGACGTAAGGCCTCCAGGCTCTTAATAACTGGTGTGAGAAGCTGAGAGACATAGGTGATGGGGCATGTCCATGGGCTGTGTGAACAGTCACATGAGCCTGTGTTACCAGTTTATTAAGGACAACAGTTCAAGCCAAGAATGGACTTAGATACCTCATTAATCTGGGAAGATGTGTTTCTGTAAAACCCTTCCTCATCTCCACAGTGTTTTTAGAGTAGACCTCTGAAGACAACAGTGCAAATGCCTTTACTCTTCAAATTCCTCTGATCCATCAGAAATCTCCATTGGACACAGCCCAGCCAACTGGGAAGGAGAAAGGACAGCCATCTAGGGTGAAGTAGCCTGTCCCACAAGCCCACCATGAGAAGGGCATAGCCAAAGGT